CTTAAAACCCTGCACCCCGAGGTTGTGCCTAACTGTACTGTGTTGGCCTAGGGAAGGGAACACACACACACACACACACTCAGAGTCATTCCTTGACCCTGAACGAAGGTGGTCTGTGGGTCTGCCCTCACCCGGGTCCACACCTGACCCGACCTCCCATATTCCTCGCCCCTGCTGGCAAGCCCACCTCCTCCGTGGCACGGACCTGGTCACAGCTCCCCCTCTGTCCCAAGGCTTCCCCAGCTTCAGGGCCTGTGGCCCCGGGCCCAGCGCGCTCACCAAAGGTTCCCGTCCATGGCACAGACAGGGCGCCCAGCCACCTGGACAGCTTTTGCCTTTTCCTGTCAGCACGAGCTTCCTACGACTCATGGGATGGCCCTTATCCCGCCTGTAACTACAGGACACATCCTTTTATTATTTTAAAAATATGTTTTATTGATTTTTTTACAGAGAGAAAGGGAGAGGGATAGAGAGTTAAAAACATTGATGAGAAAGAAACATCAATTTAGCTGCCTCCTGCACACTCCCTGCTGGGGATGTGCCCGAAACCAAGGTACATGCCCTTGACTGGAATCGAACCTGGGACCCTTCAGTCCACATGCTCTATCCACTGAGCCAAACCAGTTAGGGCAGGACACATCCTTTTAATTTTAACCCAAAAGAAACAGCCCAAACCTAGATCTTACTGACTTCCGATGGTGCTGTTTTTAAAAAATCTATTAAATATTTGGATTTTGAAGCTCTAGTAGGGCTCGGAGTCATGCAGGTGGGCGGAGTAAATTTAGTCCCACTGGTCTGCTCAAACAGCTCCCCTTAGTTTAGGGTTTAGGAAAAGGGGATTCCAGTCGAGGACACATGGAAAAGGGTAGTCAATGTCTGACTTGTCTGCCTAGATTTGAGGGCTGGTGACTCCTGTGCTATTTATTTGCAAAGCGGGAAGGGGTGGAGGTGGTGTCTGCTTTTATTTTGGGTAACAAAGGACCACACTCTGAGTGACATAAACAACGGAAATTTAATCTCACAGTTGTGGGAGCTGGAAGTGTCAAGGTGAAGGCAGGGTGGGTTCCTTCTGAAGCTTGTGAGAGACAGTGTGTTCCATGCCCCTCTCCTCATTTCTGGTGGCCTCACGCTAGACCTGTATTTATTACTTTCCTATGGTTAGGGTAACAAAGTACCACACTCTGAGTGGCTTAAACAATGGAAATTTATTCTCACAGTTGTGGGAGCTGGAAGTATCAAGGTGAAGGCAGGGTGGGTTCCTTCTGAAGCTTGTGAGAGACAGGGTGTTCCATGCCCCTCTCCTCATTTCTGGTGGTTTGCTGGCAATCTTTGGCATTTCTCGGAATGTAGAAGCATCACCCCATCAACGCCTTCATCTTCACGTGGCACCCTCCTTCTGTGCATGCCTGTATCCCAATTCCCCCTCTTAATATTGGGTTAGGGGTCCATTCCACCGTGTGACTACAGGCAAGTTCCCTCTGTGTTTCACTTCCCTCACCTGTAAAATAAGGTGGCAAAAACCTAATAGCTCCTTTATAGAAGTTGAAGAATGATTAAATTAGTGGATATTAGAAAGCACTTTAAGCAGTTCTTGGCACAGAATAAGTGTTAAATAAATAAATGCTTGTTATTATTGCTGATATTCAGTGAAAACAAATTGACCACATTTTGCTAAAGCATGGATCTGGCTTAACTTTTTCAACCTAATAGCTCCTGTACAGAAGTTGAGGAATGATTAAATTAGTGGATATTAGGAAGCACTTTAAGCAGTTCTTGGCACAGAATAAGTGTTAAATAAATGCTTGTTATTATTATTGATACTCAGTGAAAACAAGTTGACCACATTTTTGCTAAAGCATGGATCTGGCTTAACTTTTTCTCAGAAAAATAACTTTTTAGAAGGTCTCTTAGTATATTGATGCATCGTGCAAATTAACCCTGTAAATTTTTTTTAAAAAATATATTTTATTGATTTTTCACAGAGAGGAAGGGAAAGGGATAGAGAGTTAGAAACATCGATGAGAGAGAAACGTCGATCAGCCTCCTCCTGCACACTCCCTACTGGGTATGTGCCCGCAACCAAGGTACATGTCCTTGGTCAAAATCGAACCCGGGACCCTTGAGTCCGCAGGCCGACGCTGTATCCACTGAGCCAAACTGGTTAGGGCTAACCCTGTAAATTTAAACTTGGCCAGGCAACACCTCTGATTGGCCAAACTAAAAATTTCAAGTCAAGGTATATCTTGAGAACTTTTACTTGGCATGGTCTGTCCCCTAATTAGTATGAACAGTGTAATGTTTTATTTTAATG